TATATATATATATATATATGTGTATATAATAATAATAACATATATAATTTTCAAGAAATTAAAAATTTTTTCTTTTGCAGAAATTATTTCAATAATTACAACATTGACAATTATCAGAATATCGTTGCGAGTTAAATGATTTTCTTCCAGTAGAATTCGCGCTTTGTAAACAATTGGCGATACAAAAGACCAACACGATGTCGAAGATAAAATCCTTTTTCTTTTTTACTGTCTGCCTTCTCAGATCTTCTTTCAGCGGGCAAATAATTATCCCAGAACGGCGCCAGGAATTCCAATAGCAGCTCGAAACATTTACTAGCGGTGATTCCTTTCTATTGTCGAGTTTTGTGCTCTATTAAGAAACTCTTGGTTCACTCTAGCTCGTTAAGAAGCGAATTATCAAGGCCGAATATTAACAGCACCGAGTCGACGGTGAATGTGATACCGCGATAACGAGGTCTCCCTTTCCGGCGCTCGTCGATTCTATCGATCCCTCTGTCGCTCCGGGGGTTGTACGTTTCGTTTTCGAAAGGCGCGGCTAGGGTATAGTTTTCCCCGTGCACCAGCGGAAAATTACGCGTTACACCTTTCATTGAGCTGGCTTGAAATTCCCGGTGCGACGGTGCGAGGCACGTTCAAATAGCGCAACTATAGAATTACTCGCTCCATTCTCACATGCTTGTTTCCAGGCTGATAACGGCGGACTAGTGATGGTCACGTTTTACAATTATTTTGTAAAATGCGGACCTCAAGCCAGCGTTTCGGATGTGGCCGAACACATCTACTATATTAGAAATCTGATTGGTGTGGACTATATCGGAGTCGGCGGAGATTTCGACGGCATCAACAAGTACGTTGAAGATGAGATAAGTCAGTCTGAAATTAATTAATAATATCTTCGAAAATATCAGACGCAAGGACTATACCTTGATCCTTCAAATAATTTGCATGCGCGATGTTCCTTCGGCTTAAACCGAATTTCAATTTTAGTGATAACTTAATCGCTATTTTAGTGATAGCTTAAGCTGAAATTCAATTATCACAATCTCTACAACGTTAACTATCGCAGAAGAATTGATTCTTTACCTGGACAAATTAATTAATTTTTAGTAAATTATATATATATATACTAATTATGTGTAAAATCTTCTTTTCTCTCCGTAGAACTCCTCGTGGTCTGGAAGATGTTTCGAAGTATCCCGAACTATTCGCCGAACTTCTCCGGAGTGGCAAGTGGGACGTGCTCGAGCTAAAGAAAGTCGCCGGCTTGAATTTACTGCGAGTCCTCACACAGGTTAGAGTCAATTAAGGTTTAAGATATAGTTGTATATGTACCTTATACGGCGCTCCTGCGGGTCTTAATATCGTCATATTTCTACTGTAGCAATGCGTAATGCTAGACTCGCTACATTACACGACTATGTAACTATAGCTTTTCTTAGTCGTACACATAAATCGTCGCTTTTATTTAACAAGCGTGAAAAGAGATGATAAATTTTTATTATACAATGATTGATATTATTATAATATTTACTAGCAGTTCATAAGCTTATAATAATCCATAAAAATGGTGCAAAAAAGTATTATCGAAATATTTTCTTAAAATCATAAATACGAGTAGTATAATAATTTTACAAAATATTAACATTCTATAAGATATTATAAATATTATTAATAAGGTAGTACATATTATATAACCAAACGTCAATATTAATAATTTTGCATTAGGTAGAGCGTGTAAGGGATGATCTGAGGACAGCGGGGATTACACCGCTTGAGGAATATCTTCCAGACTCACCGGACACGATTGGCAACTGTGCACTGGATATTAACTCCGTGCAAAGGGTCACGGAAGTCTGATCGATCGACTGTATGCATTGCCCGACGACACGCAAATTAATCTTATGCCAGCACGACCGTTCCACGCAGATGAGTATGGCCGGAAGACAACCAGTCATGTCGAGAACATGGATTCAAGGCGAAAATTCGATTATCTCGTTTACTACAATCTGTACGCTTGCGAAAGTTCTTCGAACCTCGTGTGAAAGCTCAATTGAACGTCGACATTTGCAAAAGCTCAAAATAAACCTACCTCGATACCTGTTTCACAAAGGCGACGAGCAGCGGATATCGATTATGCTTTATTTAGAGGAAGATATATTCGCACATTATATTAAAAAGTAATTATAAATTATGTGTTATCAATAAGTAACCATAAAAATATCAAATGTTTAACTTAAACTGTAACAATCTTTTGTACTTAGAAAAATCAAACATTAGTAATAGTAAAAAATTTATTTGAAAATAATTTTTTATGATATGAGTCTGAATCAGACTCTTCTTCTTCTTCTACTTCTTTAATAACAATTTTGTTTGTAAAAATTATAGATTTATAAATTATAATATAATTATATCTGTTTGTCGCTGTTAATTAATATCCATAATACACAAACTTTTCTACTTGATAAAATTAGCGAATCGTAACAGGCTGGTTACTTTAAGATCTATATTATCTTACTGCAAATATCTTCACGATTCATGTAAATATCTAAATGATAAGCGATGCGCCATCCAATATTCGCGTGAAGATAAATTCGTCATTTCGTCGATGCACGAGACTGTTTCTAAACTTCGATGTCTTCCTCTCTTGGAAACGATCGTAATATGTGTGTGAAACTGTGAACCCCGGCTGTATATCTTTGAACGTCTTCCTTTCCCTCATAGCACCGACGAAAACACGTGCTCTACGAATGTCTGTAGAAAGAAGAATCGATATCGTGTTTCTACGAGGAACATACATGACACTCGTAATTCGCAGAATTCTGAAATCTCTTTCTTGCATTTATAAACACTTTTTTATTTATTTGAGCTTGAGTCCTGATTCTATTCTGTTGTTCACATTATAATGTTTCAAATTTATATTTTTACATAGAAAGAATTTTTAATAATATCATCGTTTCAAAATATTTCGTTGTAGTTTACAGAATTGTTATTTATGGGCCATATATACATATATATGATTTTCTAATTAGATTTTAGAATATGAAAATTATTTTTTAATATTAAAATATTTCTTACAGTTGCTTTTTTATTATATATTTCAAGAATGTGATTTAAAATATGTATGTATAATCAATGAATAGCATAAAATATCAGAACCTTAACATTATTTTTTTAACAATTATTTGAAATTACTAAAAACTCTTAAATTACAGTAATTCTAAATATTTAAAAATATTAATAAAGGAATTATTCATCTCTGGTCTTTCCAGTCAAAACTCAAACTTACACATATCAAAGTGAAATATTTAAATTATTCATATTTTATATAGCAAAAAACATTCTAGTTTTGCACCAATTTCCCACAATAAAGCTTGGAGTTATGGAGTTTATCAGAATATCAACTCGAGAGTCACGTACAATTCGAATATGTTGCTCGCAGTGACAGATGTCGATGTTGCAGGACATAGTTGATAACAGACGTACGTGTTTTTCGACGTATGCCGGATTGCAATCTATCGTTACAACGCACCCGGCAGTCTCTTTGATCAAAGCATCATCTAAAGTCTAAAGACGGGACATTTGAAATTGCCTGGAATAATCAATCGATTACGGACAGGCTTTTGTGTCAGTTTTGTTCCTGGTAATTTTCACATATCGCCGTCCACCTATCTGTGTCTCGTGTGCACTTATTATATAATTCGCGCAGGATGAAATCCTCGATCAAAAAGTGAGACTGTGTGTGAGTTGAGTCGACTCGGACAAGAAATTAATCAGTTTGCGCGAATTATACCTCACTCCGCCGTGTTGGGAGTAGGTGATAAATTCTAGGATATCAAAAGTTTCGTTGTATCTCTCGAACGAATTCTATAAATAAATGTTTCTATTGTAACTTTGCTATGTTCTTTCCTCTCCGATATACGTATACACATGTTATAGCCTTTATTTAATAACATTATATATACTTAAGTTTAAAGCGTTTGCTTAAATTGATAATTTAATGCTCTTCAATTTTAAATAGCTTGGTTTTCAATCTTAATATTTCATACAATTAAAAAAAAATTACGTTATTTATATTTATTTGAAAAAACTCTTAGTTTATCAAACCTGATTAGATATGTGTATATCAAAATCTAATGAAAGATAAGCAAGAACTATGCAAAATAAACTTAACTTTATTATCCAGTGCGATATTCTTATACAAACAACGTATTATACATAATTTCTTAATCATAATATGTAATAATTACATAACGGAATGATGATCAGTGATAATGTAAAAGACAATGATATTATTTTACAAAGTGTAATAGATGGGCACTAATCGTTAATATGGCTAAAACTTATATCTAATGTCATGAAATGGAGAAAATGTTATTTACAGGCAATTCACAAGGTACATGATTTACGCTGACTGACATTTTTAACACATCAGAGACGATCTCAGCCACTGTAAAAAGAATTCGCGATTTAGTATAATTTCTAATAACTTATAATTCATAATCATAACAATAAATATATTGATAGATTAATCTAACAATAGGATATAATAATTTAATAATATTTTTATATACCTCCGACAAGCTTAACTTTATCGTCCCATTTTGCAAAGGATCTTTGCTCTCGAATATTCCTAAATAAATGTAAAACACTCAATTAATACAAAATATTTAAGAGCTTAAATAAATCAAATTATATAAGCTAATTGAACGTCTCATAATAAACGTACCAAATGCGTCACTCAAGTGTAAGATTGCCGAAACAAAATCGCCAAATCGAAGAGTACCATCTTTCCTCATGTATCGAAGGATCAAAATAGATAATACATCCGTATTTAATTGAAAACCTGAGATAGAAGCTTTTATTACATGACAATGAAATAAAATATTTATTTTAAGCATTGTATTACATTTTCTTTTTACGTACCAACTTCCAGTAGAGCATCTCGCAATCTTTCCGCCTTGAGTATACCCGTTTTTTCCTTTGTGTGATTCTTAAAAGCAGCTTGCCAGTATTTTAAACTGCACATAAGATCTTTGAAATCATTAAACTTTAACCGACCACTCCCAGAACTCTATTTAGAGATGCAAGAAATGTATATAAGGAAACTAATTGTTTATCATATAAATTATATCACATAAATGATATCTCATAAATTATCAGAGAGAATATACAGACGATTTTATTTAAAATTCTAATGAAATAATTGATGTATATAATCAATTAAATAAATTAAACACGAGGCTAAAGTCCTAAATTTGCAAACAATTATCAAATAAAAGCTGTGGTCTGAGGTTAGACCGCACAGTTATAGCGATTGAAAAAAATCATTATATTTAAAAAAAAAACAAAGTTTTTATTGTAAAAGGATACATCCATAGTGAGCACTACTTGTCGACAGACCTCCATGCAGGCACAACTTTTAATATAATCTAGAAATAAAAAAAATACATTTATCTAAATTAACATTACATAATATTTTAATGCATTTTACTTTTAGCAAAATGTTCTATGTATTTTACGACGGAGAGAAAAGTGTCGTACCATTCGGTAAACAGGCTTCTAAAAGCTCCTGCAGTTCGAAAGCGTTTACGGTTCTGTGCTCGTCGGCGAGCTGCAGAAATACAGCCTCGTATTGAGAGAAGCCTTTTCCTTCGAGGGGAGGCGCCTTAACAATTGCCGATTTCATTAACGACGGCGGAGTGTCTAACAATCTGAAACATTAATGATACAATGTGTAGAAAATGAAATTTTACCTCTCACTCTTTTATTCCAAGATACAAAACATATTAATGTGCAATAAATCAAAAATGTAAATAACATTTTACGTATTTAAAATTTTAAACAAAGCAATTTTAATAATAAAATAATATATTACTAATAAATTACATATACGCGCAAAAAGGAGACTAATATCAATGATAAACAAAGGCAATAAATCATTTAACTGAAAAAAAAATATTCAATGTATTGCGTTTCCATAACAAAAGAGTATATGCTCAGGAAAGGCAATTACTTGATGCATTGAAATATGGCTAAGAAAGAATTTTAAAACTGTAGTTGAAGGCGGGCGTATACATATCCTCACGTAAGTTAATATATGCTGCACATTAAATGCACCGAGACGACCATTCGATCCTTTGTACTGCCTCGTGCAAGCGTGACATCAGTAAATGCATATACTTACTTGAGTTTTAGAGGCTTACTGCTGTAGACCCGTAATGTGAAACTCGTTTCTTGAGTCGGCTCGAAGGTCGTAGGTACCAACAGGTAACCGCCCTGCTCGAGCTGACACCTGTGGCTCACCTGCCGACTATTCGTATACTGAGAATTAACTAAAGACTTGTTCTTCTTGAAAAACTGTTTGTTTATCGATTCGGTGCTGTTCTTCGGCAGTGTATATGCTGTGAATCCAATCACCTGAAGACAGCGAAAGTTTGATAAGCCAATTTAACAAAAGACACGTTGAATGTTAAGATATTTTGGAAACACTTCTTACTTTCGGCTCCATAATTGAATGCTGATTTAATGAAACAATGACTTCTTCCATCTCACTTAAAATCAGATGTAACTGTGGATTTATGTGAAAGGTTTCTATACGAGAAAGAAAACATTCGTTAGATTATTTATATAACTTGAATAAGTAATATAAAATATGCACTAATTTTTAAATCAACTATTTACACAATCGCTTTAATATAATTGTAATCTCAATGACAATGTTAAGATATATATATATATATATATATATATATATGTATGTATATATGTATATATATAAAATGATTTATGAGTGATAGACTAATCAAACCTTGATTATTTCGACATCCTCCTGCGGTAACGCCTCTCCTCCAGCTGCCTTGATATAATTTCATTTGCCAAGTATGTTTACTGTGTAACGACGGTTCATCTCTCGAAGTTTCAGCATCCAGATGCACAACTTCCAGGTGAGTAAACGTCTTAACGAAATCTGAGTATGATATCCTGCTCGTAACAATACATAGTTGAAACATTTCGTAACTTCACCGAAGTTTGGAAAGCTATCTTACAATTAACTGCGGGATCTACTCAACAACATTTGATTCCAAATTGTCCCAATTTATATTTAGTAATAAATTACACAATTTTTTTTCATCTTAACTAATTTAATATATTTTTCTGACGTTATTTTTATTTGTGTTACATTATAAATTATACTTTACTATTTTGTGAACTTACCAAAATTCTCCTTCGGCCATATTTCTCACAGCTAACCGTTCCCTTTCCATT